TGTTGTCGCTTATTCTTATGTAAACATAAAAAATAGAGGAGTACATAAATTATATTTTCAGATCTTGTAAATACTGTTCAAGTCTATATATGTGCGTATGTGTATGTACATATATTCCACATTCATATAAATACGAAAATTTAATTAATGAAAGATAATTAAATTTATTTGATAAAGGATTATACTTTCTATTGCTTTCTTTTTAAGTGTAATGTTCTTTACCGTCTAACATGATGCATAAAATAATGAAAATAGAAAAGGATATTAAATAGGAACCTGCTTATATTTGTATAAAATATATCTAAATTAACAGAGTCGGTTTTGTTATGCTACTGACTCTTGCACTTTTAAATTTCATGGATGAAAATACGGGAATTGACATTATATTACATATTTAATAATAAATTTATTGTAAATTAAAAGTAAATCGTAGACATTTTCCGATTCACTTTAAAATGAGATTAATCAAATTAAATATGAGGATTGCTTTTGTCTCAGGAATGATTTTTCAAATTTCTCAAAGTGTATTTGTATTTAACATATTAAATTTACCTTTTTTTTTTAATTTTATCATTTGCAGATTTGCACAACTGGGTTGCAAGGCATAGCTCTACAACACTTGCTCCAGATCGGTCGATCTGATGAACTCGAGCAACTTGTGAGACCCAGAAGGCCGCAACTCCGCCGCCGTGAGAGCAAAGTCTTCTGCGAGCAAGAGTACGATGCAGAAGGTACATATACTGTAACTAACTTACTTTACTAATAGTTTCCGCTCATTTTACCAAAAATTTTATTTGTATTTGGAAACTTTTTAATTTGTATTTGGAAAAATTAAATCCACTTAAATTTATTTAAAAATACGTAAATTTAATTTTAGTAAATACGACTCTGTTATACATACAAGAGCATAAAGCATTCATCTCAATAGAAAATTAAAGTAACTAAAGAATTTATTTCAAATGAATTTGATATAGAAATTATTTAATATGGTAACTTAAGTATATAACATAGTTCATTCCTATATATGTACGTAATGTTTAGAGAGAAATATTATGTAAGTATATCTTTATGTCAAGAAACCATACGGAAGATTTAACAATATTTTTAATTAGGTTAATCATTAAAAACTGCTTTATGTAAGAACCAAATTTAATAATGTATGTTAAAAAATTTTAAACCAGCTTATAAAATTTATTTCAAAATTAAATCAAATATTTTTAAAATAAAAATTGTAATTTTAATAGGTTAAGAAAATTTAAGTTTGTGAAATTAAAATTGATTTTGGGATTTTGTTTTTTAAATTAAGCTATGCTAGTGTGCCCTTAACGTTATTAGCAAAATATCAAACATCTATGTGTGTGTTTGATATTTGCTAGAATTAAGCTATTTTGTCAAAATGCCGGTCAGTTTATAAATGGAAAATAATATAGAAATATTTATTTTTAATTCTTCTAAAACTAATATTATAAGACTATACATATATTACATTTAAAATCAATTAAAAAAGGCTTAAGTATTAAATTTTAATTTTCATATACAAAATTTCTAATACCTTTAATTTCTAATAATATGATTTACCTATTTTATTTGGTAGTCTAGACTTAATAATCCAAAGTATGTATAGCAACCGAAAATCCTTATAGAAATTGTTTTTTTAGTTCTTAATTCGTTTTCATTTTAATTAAAAGAGACAAAATATATAATAAAACCCAATTGGAATATTAATTTGAAATTTTTAGATTAAATGATGGTTTTTTTTTTTTGTCGTGTGAAATTTAACCAAATATAAACTTTGAATTTAATTTAAGATTTAAAAATAGAAATTTATTTCGAATCAACTTAATTAATCTTAATATCAATTTAATTTGAAAATTGAATAAAATTTTGAAGATAAGAAGATGTAAACAATACATGATAATCTAGATGATTACTATATAAAGGAATTTGGAGAACAATTTGTCGATATTTTCTTCGTACCTCTATAGCCAAGTTAGTAGACCGTTGTTCTCCTATAATGGGGTAGATTACTGATTATTTTTTTTGGCCGTGACTCGTTCCTTTAACTACGTCATCTATCTGTTCTGCAGTTGGTTGGCAAATTTATAAAAATTAATTATAAAAATTAGTATATTAAAAATTTTTTAAACTAAATATTCTTCCTTATTTTACAGGCTATTTCAAAAAAAAAATATTAGTTTTAACTTGTTATTTATAAAATATTTCCGCATCATATACAAATTTTAAACTATTTCATTTCTTTATATTGTATAGAAAGTATCCTAAAAAGGGAAAAAATAAAATCTAAATATTTTTAATGTAAAACCCCCACTTTGTTAATCAAAAGCATTCAACAATGATAATTTTTCAAAACACTATATTGTAATAATAATATAAAGCTCTTAAAAATTCGTAAATCGTGCCATAAATTTTTAATAGATAAAAAATCCTTAAGCATCATAACGTGATCAGAAATTAAAAAAGAATGAAAAATTTTGAAAGGATAAATGAGGTCTAGAAAAAAAAATACACACATGTAAACAAACACATGTATAAATTAGTTATACAAACACAAATAATAACTGATATACAATCTAAATTAGCTACGTATGAATAAATATTTTTTGTTTTCATTTTAAAGGATTTTAAATATCATCGTCCATCGTCTGTAATATTAAAAGTTACAGTTAATATATTATCCTTTTTACTCGAAACATTAATATTTTTTTTATGTGCTCCTTATGTATGGTAGTCCTTTTATAAATTTATCCTTACATTTGATAACTGAAATATTAATGAAGATGAGGTCAAAATAAAGTAAAAATTCATGAGAAAATAAATAGAAAATAGGTAAAACAAAGAAACGATTTTAATACAAATTTTCTATTGTTTACTTTTAACTCTTACACCTGTGTTCAATTATTCAAATATGACGCAGATTTAAATTATTCAAAATTAATATTATTTATAGTGCCATAATATAATAAATATACCTAAGGGTTTTATTTACATGTTCTATTCGCAATCTATTGTTTTTGTTGAGCTTTTAAATATTTTATTAAATATTAATATTGGAAATGGTCTGCTAAAAGTCTGTCTTTAGGTTATATATAAGATTTGGTGATTCGTTAAATCCCAGAAATTAAGAGTACCTATACACTTCAAAACCGTATCAGTTTTTGCTTGATAATGGCAAAAATATAGATCTTTCAACTACATTCGTCTTTTTATTATTATTACATAATTTATTTTGAAATTCCACAACTTAAAATTGATATTTACATTTGAATTTTCAAATATCCTTAACGTTACGGTATACGGATTTTTAAGAAAAAATTTAAGGATAAATTTCTTTTCCTCCCGAATTATTTAAATGTCGGTTTTACATGCAATCATTTAATTACCTACAACTCTCTTATAAACAAAATTGTATTTTTAATATGATTGAGTATGAATATTTGGTTATTAATAGAGAAAAAACTTTACTGACGTCATTAACTTCTTTTAAATTTGATACAAGTATTTCATTTTTTATAAAAATGTATGTATATTATATAGAGCTATTTAAAAGTCCTTCATTTGAAATATAACATATTATTTAGAATGTTTTACGTATTCAAAAAAGGCAAATTATTTAAAGAATTTTAGGATAAGATTTTAATACACAAACCTATTACGAGTTTAGTGTCCATTCCTGAAATCAAAAATAACCTGCATGTATTCTTTATTTTGAGAATTTTCTTTGAACTAAACCTTGAACTTGAAACGTACAAAATTCTTGTAATAAATTTTAATGTACTATATATAAATATATTATATTTTAAGTATGAACAAGTATAAAATTATAAGAAAAAATCATGAGAGTAATTTTTTACAGCAGAAAAGAATATTTTTACAGAAGAAAAATTATAGACTCTTTAATTTTTTTGTCGTTATCCTCTTTGTGAATGTGAACAGACATAATGCAATAAAAACCTATATTATAGCAACCAACAATCATAATGACCACATTTAAGTTGAAGAAGACGTATTATTTGATGATATGGAAGAATATGGGAAAATAAAATAAGTTTGAGCCTTGGGCAAATAAAATAATTTGCTCCTTAAATTTTAAAAAAATTTTACAGGAAAACATTATGAATAATGTCAAATACATATATATTTTTTCCAAATATTTCTACTTCATTTATATTTCGAACGCAGGGCAGGTAGTTTTGAAAAGAGTAAGAATGTTAATTTAGTATTCTTCTCGTTAAAAATAATACTTTTAAGTAAATGAAATTGGGAAGGAAACTTATTTAATGTATTAAACTAAAAACAATTTTCGCTAAGTTCAATTCAGGATTGCAGTGTATTCCACTTAACTATTGAAAATTTGTAATAACTTTAATATTTTCAATCAAGTAAATTTAAGAATCCAAAATTTATGCAATTTCATGGCAACAATCGTTGGATGGGACCGGCATTATAAATCAGTACTAATATTATTATTATCAATAGATAGTAATACATAAATAAGTATATAACTTCGCTAAACAGATATATAAGTAGGTACTTTTTACCAAATGGTAGGAAAAGAAATACTCAAAAAAGAAAGAAATTGATATTATCAATAAGTGTTTGAAATATTTTTAATAACTTTTCATCATCTATAAAATAATATAAATACAGATGAAATATCTAAATACTGAACATTATTGGTTTGCGTTTATTTGCATATGTCATTGACTGAAACAGAAACAAAAAATACAAATATTTGACTATCAAAATATCTGTTGCACGGTTACCTTGAATTTTATTTGCAATCCCCCAATAAAAAAAAGTCGTCAAAATAAAAAATTTGTTTTATAAAAGGTACAACAAATAGTTAAGTAAAAAATTATTAAAAAAAAAAATACTTTTTACCATTACTTATGTCATGCTTTAATAAAATTTTTGTAGTCGAAATACAATTATTTCTTGGATAATTTGGATATTCTATTGTTGAAAGAAAAACACAAGTATTATAAAAAATAGTTATCTATAATGTTAATGCAACTTTTGATTTTAATACATGGTCTCATTTTATATTATCAAATTTATATAAATGTTTGAATTGCAATGAATTAAGTAAAAAATAAAATCTTAATTATATAATTTATTTTATTCAAAATTAGCTATTCCTACCATTAAACCAACTCCCAACAATAAAGCTGAAATTTCTTTTAAAGATTGTCCTAATTTTGTCGATTCTTCAAGTAACTCAGGTAAAACACTAACTGTTGCTATATAAATAAATCCACCAGCTGTAAATGGTAAAATCCATGCAGGAGCAATATCACTACTACCAGCACCAATTAAAGCTAAAACAGTACCAGCTAATGCACCTAAGGCTGTAACAAGTTGTAACATCATCGCCTTACGTCTTGAACAACCTGATTTTATTAATATAGCAAAATCACCAATTTCATGTGGAACTTCATGTATGAGTATGGTAATTGTTGTAACCATACCAATGCTATTTCCGGCTAAATAAGATGCTCCAATTGCTAAACCATCAGTGAAATTATGTGCAAAATCTGCTGCAAGATTAAGATAACCTGCTACTGCAACTTCTTCTTTTTCCTTTCCTTTTGCCTTTTCTTTTTTACCTTTTGACTTTTCATTTTTATTTTCTGATTTTTTAGCTGGTACAGGTTTGTTATCATGACTATGACTATGACCTCCTCCTCCTTTAATTAATCTAACAAATTTTTCAACAGCTAAAAATGCAATTATTCCACCAAGAACCCATAAACCAACTGACATGTCATGAGTGTGAGAGTCATTATCATCATGACCATGAGAATGTCCATGTCCGTGTGAGTGACCACCATGCTCTCCGTGTGTGTGTGGAACAGCTGCGTGAGGTATTAAGTGTAAGAATGCATCTCCTAATAACCCTCCAGAAGCAAAAGCAAGCAAGATTTTGAGTCTTGGCTTCATTGATTCTGTGTTATCCAATTTAATAGCATATAAAATAAAGAATGGGGCTGCACTAATCAAAACTGTAGATGCGATAGCATGAATCCAAATGCTATCTAAGTCTGTTTTAAAGTTTTTTTTGTTATTGAATGAAAAACTATTAATTTATTATAAATATATACTACCTAAATCCTTTGCTGTAGCTTGATGTTTATGGGCAGTATGTTGAGATTCATGTGAATGTCCGTGTGAATCATGATGATGATGGTGATGATGATCATGCCCATCATGATCATGATGATGTCCGTCAGAATGGTGATGATGCTCATGTTCGTGACTTTTTACACTTTTAGGGTCGAAATTCTCATTAGCTTCTTTCGACCATTTATAGCTTGGATTAGCTTCAAAATCATCGTGACTGCTACAACATTGTGGAAAAGTGAAAAATATTAGCACTAGAATGAAGCCTATCGCTAAATGTTTTAAAAATTTAGCATTTCCATTCTCTGTAGTTTGTAGGTGGACGTTCTTCGAACTCATAATCTAAGCTACGTTTGAGTAATTTTCTCAATTAAACTTCTTATAAACTTAACTAGAGTGTAGTCAAATAGACTCACGATTTCTTAATAGTTATGTATTAATAATCAACTTTTCTTATCTTTTGTACAACTTTTTCAATTATTATATCGGCTCGGTATGACTTGGTTATGTTTTATTCAAAGAGAAAACAATATCACATCATTATTGCCAGATGTTGTTATGTTTTTTTTCTGACGGAAATAATAAATAATAGTTGAAAAATTTTTTGCAATTTTGTTTTAAAAGAATTCTCTCTATTTTTGACACTGTCTAATATAATCTAAAATTAATTTACACAATATAATAAAAGCAGTTGAATTTAATTACTAAAGTTAACTAAGACATAATTCTTTTGGATGAATAGCAAATTAAATTTTGCAATCGTCATTGAATTTTTTAATTAGTATAAGAGAGAAATACGTAATGCTTTAATTAAATGGGACTTCCAGAATATCACATATTAAACAGAAACATATTAAATCAAATTTGAAAAAAAAGTGTTGATCAAGAAAACATGCTAAAATAAATTCATAATGCCACGTATTCATAAAATTTCAATTCTATTGGCAATTCTATTTGTGACAGTACATAATAGTATTGCACATTATTATTTTTGTTATAAACTTTTTGTTAACGTATTTACTATTCTGACATTTCATAATTCACAATATCTATTCACAATATTTTCCAAATTCTATTGTACTAAAATTTTTCGATAATTGTGTGAATGATGAAACAAATAATTTATTTAACATTTATTATATGTGTTTACACGAAGGTTTTGCCGATAAAGACAAAAATTCTTTCCAAGTGGAATGAACATGAATGAAACGTATATCAACCATTGCTGTAAAAATAACGCGTAATATCGCGTAAACATAAGTATTTTGTATTTTATTACACCGTGATAAAAAAACATGTTTTTTTTTACAGAACTTCTGTTAAATTTGAAAATAGGAATTGAAGTTCTATGCAAGACACTTTTAATTCGAAAGGAATTAAATGTCTTGCTAGAGGTTTTATGTTCTTATTTGCATATCTATAATATTAGCTTCAGGTAGACTTGTTTAGGAAGGTAGCTAAGTATGCACATGTGTGGACATGTGTGGCTTGTTAAAAAAATAGATTATTTCGTACATGATTCTAAATTTTCCCAGATTTTAGTATTTAAATTTTAGTGAAAAAATAAAAGACAATTATTGTGTTAAACAATAAAATTTTTAGTATATTTTTATAAATTTATTTTTTTTTTTCAAATTTTTTTAATATTTTCTTTTAATATAAACATACATACATATATGTATTTAAGTATAAATTGTACAAAAAGATTAATAAATATAAAATATAAAAAAGTAATTTTTAACAATATTTTTATAATTAATATTCTAATGAATACACTTTTTCTCATAACAATGGTTCTATGTAGCTATACATATTTTAAAAAACATTTTTTTTGTAAAATTAAAACTGATTTTCATTTGCATATTTCTTATTTTACTTGATAGAACAAAAAGCAAGCTAATATAAACTATTAAAATTATTAATTTAATTGCCTTATACTAGGATAAAAAAAATATAGAGTTCGGTATGTTATTTTTTAAATTGTATTATATGTATATGTTAAGGGCCTTTTCAAATATTTTGGTGATTTTCGATAATTCAGATTTAACTTAGGTTTCAATATAAAACGTTTGACAAATTTGAACTGCAGAATCTGCTAAAATAGCATGCTATAAAATGGTGGTTTTGCTGTAAATTTTTAAGATTTTATATAACTACTGCAAAAATATTGTAAATTAGAAAAAGAGCATAATAGAAAATTTTTGGATATTAAAGAGTTACTGGATTACGTTACGAATGAAAAACTGAAATTTAATTTTCTTCTAGCGCCAAGTTGTGTCATTGAAATCTCCTTTATTCTAATTTAGCTTAGCAAGTGATCTAAATATAAAATATGTAGTTAAAGTTAAAAAACACTGTCTTCGAAAATTACAACTGCAAAAGCATGTTTTGATAAGAAAAATATAACGTTAAAAATTCGTAAAACTTGTAGTTTTACATAATTATTCTGGCGAAATAATGAAAAATGCTTAATATCGCAACTTTCGTAGTTCCTCTTTATTGATTCGTTGTAGTTTTATTAATTTTATACGGGTAATTTTAACTCTTAATTGGCAATTTAAATAAAGTATTCAATATAAATTCATTGCATACTACTATTATTTCTGGTTAGAGATTGAAATTTTTATTTAACTTTAATCAAATAATAAAAAATGATAAACCTTTTTATGCCAAAAAAAAAATAAATTATAAATACTTACATAATATATAATTTTCATTTCAAGTATAAGGTCGTTGGGGTCTTGAACTTATTCAAATATTTTCAAAATTTTCAAAGAGTTTCAAATTATTGTATTATTTTATCTGCATTTCTTTAAATGATAACATTTTCTTTTTCACATCTTAGTGTTTGTATTTAATTAAAAAAAAAAAGCTTAGTACAAATGTACTACATAATTATATTATTTTTTTTATGCGGTAAATATTTTAAGCATTATAAATGAAACACAAATCTCTAAAACAGAAATAATTTACTTGCGCAACTATTTGATTAGTTAGAAATTAGTATCCGAGATAATAATTTTATTTTAAGTGTTTATAATTAAAAAAAGCTAATTCAAGAGTGCTATTGAAGATAAAATTATAGAAGTAAATATTGAACGGAATGAATTTTGGGATCGCATAATAACTTTAAATCTTACCATTGGTTTGACCATTGATTTGAATGACATGGCAAAGCAGGCTTTCAAATTAGTATTTAATTATATTTTATAAAATTGAATATTTATAAAACTATATTTATATTATTATTCTATAAAGCCCTGAAACTACGAATTTCCATTTTCTCTTAAATTTTTATTAAAAATGCAATCAGACATAATATATGTATAGAAAAAGTTTTTTAATTAATTTTCTTTTTTAACAATATAAAAAAAAAATATAATCATTTTGATTATATCTAATTAATACATAAATGTTTAGTTAAATGTATAGATAAATATATATTATTAACGTTATATAATATTAACGTACATATTTTATGTGCATACTAAAATTTTGCCATCAAAAAAAAAAAATACAAATTTAATTGTGTAGCAAAAAGAATAATTTAGGAGGGAGCAAAAATAAAAATGCTTTAATTTTTGATTTCTCTTCTATGAACTGTTAGCAAGGTTATGGTTTGGGAGCTATGTTGATTCGGATTGTGAAGTTTACTAGAACTACTGATTACGATTTTTTTTATTCTTCTACATTTTGTACAATTTCAACCAAAATTTTTGTTCGGACATAGATTTGAATATTGAAAACATTAACATAGTTATTTAATTTTTGGCTAAAGTTGACTTTAGCGATTATTTCTTTTTGCCATAGAATTATAAAAGGTAAAACGATTATTTCTTTTTGCCACATAATTATAAAAGTTAAAACAGTTTTATTTTAATTTTTGCAAAATTTTGTAAATTAAATTTAAAACTAAATACTATTACTATTATAATATAATAAATATATATTATGTATATATATATATATTATATATGTATACAAATATATACATTATGCATATGTATAACATTTTAAATATTATTATGACACTACTGTTCGTTAAAGAAAATTTACTTTAATTAATTTTAATCAGTATTATTATGAATATTATAATTTTAATTATTTATATATTTTTCACGATTAAATATATTGGAGACTTTTTATAGGGATCTAAAATATTTAAAAAAGGAATTTTTTATTTTAACATACAATCAAAATATTTTTTATATATGCAGATATTATTATTTTTTAAACAAATGCGATAAGAATAACAATTCAAAAATATTAATTTTTATAATATTATTAGACTTTTTGTGTGTTTATGATTATTTCATATAAAATTTAATCGTAAAAAAATAAAAATTTTTAATGTTTAATATTATTAAATTTTTAATAACGTTTTTAGTTTATTAAATTTTTTTTTATATATATAAATATATATGTATATATTTTTTTTAAATATTTTATAACAAAATTTATAAAATGTAGTTTTAAAACAAAAATAAAAATTTCTGCTTTTTTGTTTTTGTAATTTGAAATTAATTTTGTAACAGTCTTGCATAAAATTTTGTTTAAAGAATAAATTTTTTTAATTTTTTATTATATTAAAAATTATTAATATTAATTTATATAATTAAATTAAATAATTATTACATATATGTATATGTATATAATAATTATCATATACAAGGTATATATAAGTATTTATTTGAATATTTCTTTTCTTTTTTTTTTTTGAATATTTACAAACTCCGATGTAAACGGATAATAAATTTCTATTATTATTTAATATTAATATTATATAAATATTAAAAATAATTAAATCAGAATTTCCATTTTTGTATCAAATAGTATGGATTTGTATATGTTTAAAGCTCGTATTTATAAATGAAAAATTGTTATTAGTATAATAGAAATTTTATAAAAATTAATAAACTGATAACATATTATAAGAAAATATTTAAGATATTAATTTATTTAATAAAATTTCAATTTAATTTCATAATGTCAACCAAAATTTTTATAAACAAATTAATAATTAAAAAAAGCTAAAATATTTAAGAGAAGGATTTAGTATTTTCAATATTGCATTAATTATAAACTTATTTATGGATGAGTATTTTACATACAAGTATCTAACTTATTGCTTAATTTGAGAGGTATTTAAAGTAAATGCAGAAAAAAAAAATAAAAGAAGCAAACAAAAAAAAGGATATATACTAACGAATATAATTTGTAAATGGTCTTTAAAGTTAAAATGTTACAGCGACTATTTTAAATCTGAGATATTACTGAATCAAAACTTTATCAATATGTAATATTTGTACTTTTAAAATTTCAAGATAAATCATTACATTAATAAATATTATCGAAATTTAATTATGTTCCATTTTAAAAATTCTATTTATGATTTAGTTTTACAATTTGGGAATATTATCAAATTTGGGTTTTTGGGAATATTATTAAAATCACCTAGTAAGAATAGTTATTTCAAATGCAAAATTTGTAATTTTTTAAATTTCTATTGTTAGTTATATATAGAATATCTATATATATATAATATGTAAATAAAATAATTCACTATTTGAAAAGTGAAAATAAGAAAAAGTTTAAAATATAATTAAATAAAACCAATTTTTGATATCTTTTAAAAGATTTAAAATTTAAATGAAAAAATTATTTATACGTAATATGAAAATTCTGTTTTTTATTTTTGGATAATATAAATTTGCAGTAGTGTCAATGTTAGAAACATTATGATAATTTTTAGATCAAAATTTGGGCGAATTTCAAATACAAATAATTTTTATCTAACAAAGATTCGACTACAAAAAGTAATATTTATATATATTTATATTCAAATTATTTTAATTAAATTTCATATTAAAAAAAATTTAAATGCTACATATATATTTAGTTATTGTAATTTTTTAATATTTTTTTATAATGAAATGCACTTAAAGTTATCATAAATTATCTTTGTAACCATTACAAATTCTATTTTGTATGAAAAGTGTAAAATATTATATAAAAATTAATAAACAATAGAAAAATTTTTTATTATTGTATAGAAAAACAGATAATTTTTTTATATTTTAGAAAATTTCAGTCATTTTAGAACAAAAAAAAAATTATATATTTTTTTATTGTGTTATTACCAAATTTTGTTTTTTAATTTAATTAATAAATTTTGATATTATAAAAGTAATTGAATTTACATTAAATAATGTAGTTTATTTTAAATAATATAAAATCTTAAATTTCGCAATAAGAGGGTAAAAATAATTATATTTTTTTTTTCAATTATCGGAGTACTATTATTTTTCTTTTTTTTTAATATTACAAATTTTATGTGTACATATTAATTTTTTAGTTTTGATCATTTCGCTGTTTATACAACCTTAAAATTATTATATAAAATTATAATAATTTTAATAATTTTTTTTTTGTTTTTTATTTCAATCTTAATTTAAAGTTATAATTTTGTTTTGTCATTTGATTCTGATACTGTTGGTAATTCATGAGAATGATTATGTTTCCTGTTTTCTCTTGTACAATGTTTAATTATATTGTTCACTTGTTGTTCATCATTAATATTTTCTTCTACTCCTTCTTCTTCTTCTTCTTCTTCCTCGCAAATTTTTTCTTGATTCTTTTGGATATCTCTTCTTCGTAAATAAGAAATCAGGGGACGTTTTTTATGCTCCTTACAAAAAGGACAAACTTGTTTTCCATTCTTTTGTGTTTTAACCATTTCACATTTTTCTAAAATAAATATAAAATGATTAAAATTAGTTGAAAATTTAAAATATTAAGAATTTATAAGGTAAAGGTTTTGTTTAGTAAAAAAAGTTTTTGAATTTAATTTTCATTTAAATTTTAATTCAAATCATTCATTATTGTGCTAAATTATTTAATTGAGAATTTGCTAACTCAAATCTTTACTTCAATAATTTTAATTTAGGAGGCATTTTAATTCTATATACATTTTATAGACAAAATTATAGAAAGCTAGAGCTAGATGACTTCATTGTATATTTTAAAAACTTGTACAATAAAAATTCAGAAAAATTAAATTTAAAATTTACTTAAAAAGACTTTTATTTCCATAATCCATTAATGAATACATTTTTAAATTATTTTAAGGTTGCCAAATATACAATATAGCTTTAAACATGTAAAATGTATAAAAAATTTTCTTATTTGATTTAAAAAAAATTTTAAGATTTTGCATACGATCATTGATATTGTGTAGAATTGGAATTGATTAAAAAAATAAAATTTTATAATTCTTTTATGTTTAAATTAATATTTAGTTATATATATATATAAATTATAGTTGACCGTTGGATACTAATTATCATGTAGTTTGAGTGTTTGACAATCTTTTGTTTTACTTTTTTGTTAATAAGCAATATTTACGATAAAATTTAAGAGCTCTTTGTGTCAATTATAGCATTTTTGAAGTATAACTGCAAGAGTCATTAAAATTGCAATCGTATTTTAATTTTTGCGGGGAAAACCCTTTTATTATTCAAATTTTGATCACATATTAAATTTTTGATTTCTTCTATTTTATCCATTTGAGTATAAGTAATGTAGTTATCCAATAAAATAAGATAAAACCGTCCAAAATTTTGTTTTGAAAATTAATTTGATTTTTTCTGATAATATGTGGAAGATTAAAAAATTAAATTTAATTAAAGTACATACATACAAAGTACATCAAAGTGGAAACTATGTTATAATGAACATGTATCCATTTATGGGTGTATACGTAAGTGACTTAAACTACAAAATGTGATAAAAATTTATTATGTGATTAACATTATTACTCATGTTGTTTAAATTTTTTTATTTTTTTAGCTAATAATCTAAAAAAATTTATGACTTTATATACGCGTATGTACTTGCAAATGAAAATATAGGTATACTTCTTCGTAATCATCATTGCCATTTTTGGAAAAATTCCATGCTTAAGTGAGAATTTTTGATGTTTAAGTAATGTGAATACTTTTAAATGTACAAATAAAGTGATAATTTCCGCTTGTGGAAAGATTAATTTTTGAATGGAAGATTTTCTGTTTGGTAAGTCATCATATAATTATTTATAGTAATAAATACATGTAATATTATATATATATATTAAGCCATTAAAAGAGAGTAGATCCAATTACGCTACTAATACGGAAAAACATTATTTTTTAATTTCTTGTAATTTTACAATAATTATTGTTTGAGTTTCTTTTTAATGGTTACAACACTTCAAATCAACACTACTTCGGAGTAGTGTTGGTAGTCTATAAATGCAATACTGTTTTTTTATAAAAATACTATTAAATAGGGGTAAGTACTATTGTTTATGAAACTAGTTTATTCTCTCATTAAAATGTTTTGCTATCTCAAAAGGTGTATGCGTATATTTATATTTTCTTCTTAACTACATACTTTTCTATGTATCTATATATATTTGACAGTCATAAGATATAGATTATAATATAGAATATGTAATATTGTAAAAACATTGCAAGCAAATTTAATGTCATCGATTTTGTTGTAGGTTGAATTCATAAATCTCGATTATCTGGCAATTCGAATAATCGTTTTTTAATCAAAAAATATATTAAAAGATTTAGCACACATTCGTATCACAAATATAAATATGTAACTGTATTATAAGTATTATCATATATGTACATATATATATACATGTATAATTATTATGTACATAAATTTATTTATTTGAATTTTTAAATTTAAACTAAGCACTTTCAATATTTGGATATCAAAAACTAGAAAAAAAAAATTAATGTTTATCGAATTCTATAGAAAATTTTCGAATATATTTACGATATCAATAAATTTTTAGCGTTTTATTATAGAAATAAAATCAAATATTTGGAAAAAAAATCAGTTTTGAAAATTATTTGATGATTATTTGAATACTCTTGAACTGTTTAGTATTTTTTGTGCTGAATACTATAAGGAAAAAAATCAAATATAATTTAATAATACATATACATATACATATAGAATGTTGGGAAGGAAATACAAGAACATGAATTTATCAACAATTTTTAATTATATTATTATTCTAATTTCAAAAATAGCTATTTTCTTTCTTAAAAAAAAAATTAAAATAATTGATAATCTACACTTATGCTTTGCAAAATGAATCTGAAAACCATAAGTAATATTTGCGTTCCAATATATGCGTAGTTTGTAAATGGAACAGTCTCTTTCGGTATATGAGTAATACTACATAACGTTAATTTCTTTTTGGCATAACAATTTTTTTTTCCAAATAGCTTTCGTTTTTGAGTGTTCAAATACCAATTTATTGAAAAAACGCACATTTCAAATATTATAATTAAATGCCAAAATAGCTCCAAAAACAAACGATCCATCTGCTGTAAATGAAAAATACTATTTCTACCTAACGGAAAAAACCAACATAACTGCAAAAATTATCTACGCATTTGTTCGAGGTATTATATGTAGTTGTAGGCACAATTTTAGCTACTCATAAGTAGTTTGAACACGTAAATGGAACTCAAATAATATTTTATACTATTATTTTGGAGACATACGAAATATCCAATACTTAAATATATCTAATAAACCTAATTAAAAATTTGATTTTAATTCATTATACCTATTCCTATAAAAATAAAATTTCTATTAAATTTAAAAATCTATTAAATTCTAGTTTTATCTAAATTTTATGCATGAATTTTAAATTAGTAAATACTATAGAGCAGTCTTTAAATTTTTTTAATTTATTTAAGCTTTAAGCACATTTTTAGAATTAATTATTATTAATTAATAGTTAGGTGCAATTTCTCACCTTTTAGTTTAAAAAATAAAACAATTATCAGAGAAATTATTTAAAGTTTTATTTAATTGTAATATATTTCTAGTTTTTAAACCTTAAATAATTTGAATTGTAAATTTTTTGAATACATTTCAAATGGAAATTATACAAGAAAATAAAAATGCATTTTAAGTGTTTGTAGAATTTTTTTACTTTCAGAAAATTAATAAGAATAAAAAATGAAATTAGCATTAAATACTTAATTAAAGTTAATTTAAATTAACAATTAAGACCCTGCATTAGTCTACTTTTTACAAATAATTATTGCAAAATATCATCGTTTATTCAGGTTCTTCTGAAAACACAGCATGAGTCCACATTTTTAAAACTAAGAAAACCTTTTTGCATTGATTGACAACTTCAAAAATTTATCGTTTGTTTCATAATTATTAAGCAAACGCAGTTAGAGAATTAAAAATGCATTGTTGCGTGAAATTTCAGAAATGTTTACTTGCAGCTGTAGCTTTTAAAATATACACAGTGCAATTCTATAGTTCAAAATTAGAACTGAACAATTTGAGAAGAATCTTTTTGTTTGCAACTTTTTCGAATTAAATTTTATTTGCTTCAAATACAATGTACTTGATTTGAATAACAACTTGTTATATTTTCTAAAGTTCACATGTACCTATTTATAAATGAAAAAAATTTTTTGATAATTTTTTAAAATAATTATGGTTGTGTGTCGCTATTTTTGATTTTATTATTCCATAAAACAAAAAAAAGCTTTATCTATATTTGAAAAAATTTTATTATTTTTTTTTTTCTAATTAAAAATTTAGCATATTAAATAAAATTTTTCTAGAATAAAAGAGATTTTAATAAAAAGTGTGTACGAATAAGTTGAGTGTTTGAATAATAAATTTACAGAATAGTTAGGAACATTATGAAAATTATTAGAGCACCAATTAACATAGTTTTTAATTTTAAACTAACCTTGAATTTTGTATTATAATATTTTTAATACTGCAATTCATGTGTTTGCCACAAATTCTCAACAACTCTAGATGTCTATAACTTTTTATGGGATCTAATTTACAATATACTATTTTAAAAATTGTAATTATACATATTAACCCCTGCAACATTTATTTTTTCATGTATGTACAAACATGATAAAATAAAACATAATATTAAGAACAAATTAACAATTAAAACCAGCGAAATTAAATCACATCTAATGTGGTATATTCGGTTTTGTGGGCACTTATTTAATATAAGATACTTATATTTCGTTGCAGGTGTACAGTGGAACATATAGTAGAAAAACTGATTCGAAAAATTTTAATTATTATTTAAATTTTTTTTAAATACGTAATTTAATATTTTTGAATTTTAATTGCGCATTTAAATGAATATGTTTCTATTTAATGCAATGCGTACTTAAATGTGTTTCCATTTTATATTATTCAGGTTTGATATTCAAATATAATTTGATATTTTTAATTTAAAAAAGCAAAAATGAGTTCAACAGTATTTTGTTTAGTGCGTAAACAGATACAAGTCTATTGCCCTTCGGAAAAGTAAAATATGCCCTTCGGAAATGAATTTTTAATTTAAAAACTAGTTTCTTATATTATGCGAGTTAAATTGTATATCATAGATCATTCAAAGACGTGACAAACATGTTACAATGTAATATTTTATTAAAAATTTTGTAATTCATGTAAATGTACAAATGTAGGATGGTTCGGTAATGAGTATAATATTATTTATACCATATAGTTTAGTTAGAAAATTAAAAATAGAAAAATTTTTTATGCCTAACTATATATGGGTGCCAAGTTTCCATAATTTTTGAAACTTTAAAAAAATTTGGTAGAGTTTTACTTGCTATTATCATCCGGTTAACAAAAGATATGAACTGCGAGTAAATTTTTCTTCAAAGAGA